TTTTTTTTTTTTTTTTTTTTTTTTTTGAAAGCACTAGAGGACAAAAAAAAAACGGAAAGTCGACGAGGACTTATATTATTATGGGTACTAACGGAATCGACCCACGCCGCAGCCGCCGCCGAACACAATATACTCGTAAGTCCGGCAGTGGACCTATAGAAAACAACAATAATAATATAATGTCAACCGACTTCTTTTATAGTATTTGTACCTATGTATAATATAGTAATAGTAGAGCAGAAACTTCACGGTCGGGTCATCGATCAAAAAAAAATTGCCGCCTCGGTGACGGTGTGTGCTCGACTCTCGCGTCAAGTGGGCTGCTGCGGGGGGGGTGAGGAGGACTCAAATTTGAAGTCCCTCAATTATTATTATTATTATTATTATTATTATTTAATATATTAATCCAGCCGTCGTCGTCGTATACGCTGCATCACATATAACGGGCCCGAGGGCACGCGTCTTTATATAATATTATAACGTCAGATTTATACTATAATAATATAATAGGTACGCGAAGAAAAAGATGTGTGGAAAAAAAAAATACCAAACGTCCGGGATTTTTCTAGACCTTTTGTCGTACTCTGCTTATATATATTATATACTGTTATTTATTTTATTTTTTTTTTTTTTCGATATACAAGACTATACACGAGTATACGACATCGCCCCTAAGCCGATCTTAACATCTGCCCCGCGCGCAACCACCTGCGACGTCACCGTTGCGCCATCGAGAGCACGTCGTCGTCGCTGCAGATAAACAATAAGTATACTCGTATAGGTAGTAGGTACCGACCGACGCGATGGAAAATATTATACTCTGTCGTGAACGCGAAAATAATAGCGAGTATAGTAAACGGAAAGAGAGAGGTTTTTTTTTTTTTTTTGACAACGTTTTTCGAATTATTTTCAAATAGATTTTTATTATAATTTAATTTATACGGACGGGGGAACACATCAAATACATAATCTACAGCTAGTCGCCTCTTGAAGTTAATAATGAGGTTGTCTTCAGAAATTCAGAGATAATAAACGTTGCTATTTAAAAATCAAAAATAGGTAACCGTGTTTCAACCCGAAAAACAGAGGTGATAAAAAGGACAGTGTACGTATAATTCTGAAAAGGTTTTTATGCATATTTATTTTAAAAATAAATAATTCATGGGCAATTTGTCTGTAACAAGAAATTTGAAAGATTATGTATATGATAACCGCCTCTTGACCAACTAAACTAAAATTTGATCGTTACCAAAACGGTTTACTTTGCCGACATTGTCGCCTCACAATCAGTTGGCGGCAGGTCGCAGTTAAATTGATATCACTTAATCTAAATAAATGTCACAATATAGTCCTGAAGAATCCACTCTAAATAGGGATACAGTTTAAAACTGTCGAAGTTTCTTTTTTTCATTTCTTTTTTTCTCTCTTGATCCGCCGATTGGTAAAACGTACGCGATCGCGGCGTATGTAACACCATCACGGAAAAAAGAAATAAAACGACGGTTTACAGCGATGCTGGTTTATTATTAAGACGACGAAAAAAAAAAAAAAAACAACC